AACCCCGCACTTGCGTCGCTCGACGCCCGACTCTACTAGGTTATTCACGATGTCGAGGACTAAGATCAAGGCCTGTGAGAGGTATGGCCACTGAGTTACCAAGCTCGTGAGGCAAGCCGCGAACTCGGACAGTCGCTTAACGATGTCATATGGAGGCGAGGCGAGTTTATCGTTGATACGTGTGATCATATTAGGGACTTCAATGCCAAAGGACTTCTCCATAGCACGGAAGAAAGGGATAAGATTGATCTGCAGTATCCATCCTAGCGACGGCAAATAACCTTTGGACAACAGTTCTGATGGCTGCAAATTCGGGTCCTTGACCGCCTGGTTCAGAAGCAGGGTATCGAGACGAACAATGTGGAGGGCCAGCTGGGCATAGTTGAGGATGAATTCTTCCAAGCAAGCCCACAGAGCCTCGCCTTGCTCCGGTACAAGCACCTGACTGCACAGGTATTAGTGTTGATCCAAGGTTGTGATCGGGCCGTCTTGAGGAGTCACGAAGACAAGAGGGCCTACTCACATTCGGCGTAGCAAGCCATTCATCATGCTTGGTACCTCTTCCCAAGCATCGCGGTCCTCTACTAAGACTGCATATGTTAAAGAGTTGAGGTTGTTCACCACATCGTCCAGCCACGTCTTCACGGCGTTGAAGATTGTGGTGTCGAGGTCCGAGCCTGCAGGCGAATTCAGTTTGAGTTTCTTTTCCACTCAAGCCCAGGCGAGAGCCGTACCTTTCTCAAGGGCCACGCTAATCTCTTCCATGCTCTCGCGCGACTCTGTTCCCGGACGAAGCTTCGGAAATGTATCTATCAAAGACAGATGGTCGTGAAGCTGTACAAGCTCCGGGGTTGCCGGTTCTCGCAGTGCCTCCCCTAGCGGCTTCCAACTCGACGTATTGGGATCCTGGTCCATATCTTCTAGATCTGCCACCTCGATTTCCGGACTCTGCGCAGGCGACGACGACAGAGATATTGCCGCGGGAGCTTCGACACCGGCCCCATCGGTGGGAGCCGTTGGTTGGCTGGGACCGGCCTGTTTTGTCGGCGAATCGCTAGGAGCAGAAGCCATGGTTTCGGAGATTGGAGACTTCACGTTGATGGTCACTCGACTGGCCGGACGAGACGACGGGGAAGCTTCCTCGCCCAAAGTGGCAGGAGCATCGGTGATGTGGTTGGGAACTTGAGAAGCGGAAGTGTCGTTGGAAACGGACCAGGAATCACATGCTCCACTTCCACTGTCGAGACGGGGACGTTTTCGCGTAGAGTGAGGGTCGTTATCTTCCATGGAATCACCAAAGGGACGCGTCGTATCGGCTGGGGTAGTGTCGGGCGGGGTGCTAGAGGTCTCTAGCGGGGCAGCTGCCATAGCATTTTTCTTAGCTTGGTGGATGGAGGGAAAAGGTTAAGTAAGGTGGGGGTGGGAGGAAGTGTAGTGAAATGGATCGACTAGAGGTGAAGAATGAGGTTGGGAGGGAAAATCAAGAAGCTGATAAGAAATAGATTATGGTATGGCTGAAGAGACTCCTTAGAATATGAGCACCAAAGGAGTGGATGGGGAAGTAAGGTAAGGTTGAGCTTAGTTGGTGTAGATTAGAGAAGCGGAATAAAACGAGGAACCAACTTTTGTTCTTTGGATAGAAGGGAGGATGGAAAGCAGGCAGCTATCAGTTAAGTAGCTGATTCAGTTGACCCATTCAAGCCACAAAAGGTAGGATGACTGCTTTTTCTTCCCGAAGAACCGGAAGTAAGATGGGAGGGGGAAGAGCGAGAAAGGAGGAGGGGGGAGAGAGAGAGAAGGTGTATGAAGGTAGTTAGGTAGGTAGATAGGTTGAATAACAAGACAGGTAAGGTAAGGAAAACGCGACAAGTTGAATGGTGAATGCAGAGTGGAGGAAGTGAAAGGCGGAAGAAGTGAGCAGCAGTAGACTAGCAGCAGCAGTAGCAGCAGCTCTGACGTTGCGGTGGAGCCGCGATTCGGGGGGGTAAGAAAGAGTTCTGGCCAACGGCAGTCCCGCCAGTTGACATTATCTGTCCTCTGGTTTAATGCAATCATCACTATTGATTAATTCGGAGGAGAAACATTTGGCCTAACTATAAATTCATTATTCCATACTAGCTCATTTAAGCATGACATCAAATGTTGCTGGGCTATGAGTGTTAATAACCTATGTTCCTAGGATTTCCTACGTAGTAAACCCAGTGGAAGGCCCCCTGATCCCGGAAATCCCATGCCATTAAATCAGTTTCTCGTCATGAACCAAACCTCACCAAACTTCCCTTTCAAAGTGATCATGCAATATTTATTGTCATTCTGTCTCCATTAATCAATCCTTTCCTACGATGGAGACCTCTCCAGCAGCTCTTGGAATGAGAATCCCTGTCCCTGATCAACCTGAAGCCAAGCGTAATAGACTGAAAGTGTCATGCAGAGAGAGTCCAAAGGAAAAGCATTAGATTCTAGGCTAGGGGCGATGCAGTTCTAGGGCCAACACACTTGACACACAGCTCACAGGTCAGGCACAGCTAAAAAGCCCCCGTGAAGCTTAAATTGAACCCATACTCCACTTGACTCTTTGATCCTTAGCGCGGGGTAACTAGCTTTACCTTCCCTAGACTATTTTAATACTTACGTAGTCTATCGCCTCGCTTGCTGCATGGTCCCGGAGAAGGACCGTTAAACCGGTCCCCACCAGACCGTCGATCGTCGCAAAACATATCATATCCCCCCACTTAATCCCTAGGAATGCTGGTGCCGTCTAGGCTATTCCTCAGTGTGCAGTCTGCATTGTCTAATCATCTACTGACAGTGGCAAATTCTGTAGTACTCATAACACCCGTCCCAGCCGAATGCTCAACATTGACCGTAAGATCCCAACTCACACTAATGGCAATGTACATACCGTACTGTACAGTCTGGAAACAATTACAATGTGAGGGAGATTCACTCGCTCATGGCAGTCTCAATCTTGCGAATCACTCTCGCCGGATTGCCCACAGCTAAGTGAAAAGCAGGCACATCCTACGATCAGCTCACGTCAGCATTGTTCGGCCTCATTCATTCTCATTAATTCCTTCCAAAACCCACCTTGTTGACCACACTGCCGGCTCCGATAACTGCCCCCTTCCCGATAGTCACTCCAGGCAAGACCGTCACGTTGCCTGCTAGCCAGCAGTCCTCTCCAATGTGGATTTCTTTTCCGATCTGAGGACCCTTGAAGCCATTCCGCTCAACTGGGTCTAGCGGATGCGTGCCGCTGTACAAACTGACCCGAGGGCCAATCAATGTGCGCGCCCCGATTGTTATTGAACTGGTGTCGATGATGACTGCATCGAAGTTGATAAAGGCACCCTCCCCCACTTTCAAGTTGTGTCCATAGTCGATTCGAAAGGGAGGTTCAATCCAAGGGTAATGTTCTAGCTGGATACCATCGTCTAGAGGGTCCTCTTGAGGTGGAGGCAGAGGGGTCTGGTCGTTCAGAATGCTGGTGATATCAGCAAAGCTTGGATGGCAGGCGATCGGATCGTGGTGGAGCTAGAGATAAGATATGCCTGGTAGCCCGTTGGTACTTACTCTTTCCAGAGCTCCAACATTTGCCGTCGAGAGACTTCGCCCGCATTATTGAAACGGCGACATGCACGTTGACACCGGGCCCGCGCAGCTACAAGTTCAGCGACGGACATAGAGTCAGACTGTTCTTGCTGCATCGACTCATGGCTATTGGAGAGGCAATATGATTGCTTGCTGTCGCTCGTTGTTAGAGACGAGGCTTGCTCGTATCCTCTTGTTGCCTGCGTTGACTTGGGTGGACTTGGGGCCGGGAAGAAGGGTAGAGTGAGCATATGCCCAATGGGTGGCGAAAGAGGCGCTTGGATCATTGGGATAGACATGGGTCTTTGTGTAATCGTGGATGGAGGCGAGATGCTCTGGAAATATTCTATGATTATGCCTTTTATGTTTGAAAGGGTGTCACATATATATCAATTTTCGCGAGAAAGGCGTCATAGGCTGACGCTAGCTGGATTCGATATCGTAGTGAGAAGGCCACTTCTATGGCAGGCCATGCGATATATTATGCTCTGACCATGATGAAATAACACGCAGAGTGGCAGTTTCATAAGGTATGCTAAGTGTCATGATATCATTTTTAGTATCACTAAATGCGTAGACCTGGGGAGGATGATACCCCTTTCGGTGTATGGCAGTCCGCTTTGAGTCCAGTACATAGACAGTCTGATGGCATCTTGGAGATCGGTATCTGTACCTGATTCTTCTGGGACCGATCGTCTGTCAATATTGCTAGCTCAGCGATCCAGAGCTATGTACAAGAGCCTTTCGATCGCAGCCCTGCGTGCAGGGCCATGTGTATTGATGAGTATGATGTTTGGAGTGTTAATAAATCCAAGGTCGAACAGCTAGAGGGATATGCACATATCCTCATTGAGTACTCCGTAGCTCGAGAAGAAGCCCGCGTCAGACCGTGAGTGGCTACTCCGGCTCGTTTTATTGACTCCCAAGCTGCATTCCATTGACACACCAGCACGAGTAAATGTCCATGAGCGTTGAAGACAGCCTCGCGCTCGTGATGGAACCGCAAACAAAGGAAAGTTCTTGAAAGAGTTCGTGATTGAGTGCGAACTGTAAGACCGCCCTACAGCAACGGACCAGAGTTCCCGACCAATCATCACCCGTGCAGGGCCACCTTATGTAAGACCAGCGAGCAACACCATGGAATCAGCGCGGCGCGGAGGTAGAGAGAGTCCCGATGGAGGGAAACGAAGCATCAACAACAACAATCTTTGTTGTCCTCCACGCCCGTTGCGCTGCGATTGTTCTCGCTCACTCTCAGCAGTCCGCTCGTTCGACCAACAGTCTTTGTCGCATCATGCTCAGACACTAGCAAAACCATAACAAAACCCCCACCTCACCCTCCTAAAGCAATGCATCACCGACATCACCACAACCACCACCACTAAACACCATACCCAACTTACAACAACAAGGACAACCACCACCACCTAAACCCCCCCCCCCCTAATCGTCAAAATGAGCAGCACACCACCAGCGACCACGACCCCGATCTTCCTCACAACGCCCCAATACCGCGCCTACCAACCCTCGCAGCCGTCGACCCCATCCGCAGCTGCACCCGCAAATGCATCCGCACCCCCATCCGCATCCCCCTCACCCTCACCACCAATACCGCCCCTCGACCCCTCCAACCTCCCCACGGGCACCAAATCCCTCTCGGGAATCTCCCTCCGCGCCTTCCTGCTCGGCACCACCCTGGGCCTCACCACAAGCCTAACCCTCTACCTCCTCCTCCTGACCACCACCCGACTCTGGCGCCTACCCTTCTTCCTCGCCAGCCTCAGCCTCTTTCACTTCTTGGAATACTACACCACCGCAACCTACAACCCGCGCTTCGCCGACACCACCGCCTTCCTTCTGACCTCCAACGGCTGGGCCTACAACGTCGCGCACGGGTCCGCGCTCCTCGAATGCCTACTCACCAACACCCTAGCCCCGGCGACCTACCACCAGGGCCAGCACCAGGGCCAGGTCCTGGACCTCTTGTCCCGAATGGGGATCTACACCTCCGAAAGCACGTCCGAGTTCCATGAATACCGCCCCCGATTCCCCCTCGGCGTCGTCCTCGGCCTCACCCTCGTGGTCCTCGGCCAGACCATCCGCTCCGTCGCCATGGCCCAGGCCGGCAGCAGCTTCAACCACACGGTGCAGGTGGCCCGCCGCGACGACCACCGCCTGATCACCCACGGCGTCTACCGCGTGCTGCGCCACCCGTCCTACTTCGGCTTCTTTTGGTGGGGCATCGGCACCCAGCTCGTCCTGGGGAACGTCGCCTGTCTCGTCGGGTATGCCCTGGTCCTGTGGCGGTTCTTCCGGCTGCGCGTGAGGAGTATGTTTCCCCCCCTCCCTTCACATCCCACACGTATTCTGTTGAGGGTTGGATTTCTTTCAGGATGTTGAAGTCGGGCTAATTTGAAATTTTTTGTGTCTAGGAGAGGAGAATTACCTCTGTGCTTTCTTCGGGGATCAGTATCGGGAGTATAGGAAGAGGAGTTGGGTGGGGATTCCGTTTGTTTGAATTCTGGGCGGTAAAACCTTTCTTGACAATCGGGGAAGGGTAATGGCTGTATGTTGTGGGGATTTGGGGATTTGGGGCATGGTAGATATGGGAGTCGGGGTGTTGATATCTGTCATCTGGTTATTGGTTCCCCATTTCATTACTTGAGGTTTAATACGTACTGTACATTCTAATCTACCAGAGATCTATTGTATCAACGAGACACGAGCTATGGCTCCCAATAAATGTATTCACAGTTTATGTTCAACAGTCGCGTGAAGGGTATCAAATATCCCAAAGCAAAAGCAAAAGCAACTCCAGACGCCTTTGCGCTCAAGCTCATTGCACAACAAACGTCAGCATGCATGCATCCATCTCCCTTCTGTATATACAATCCGTAAAGAACGCGGGCAGCTCAGAGCTTACTCTCCCTCGCAACACTTCCAAGGGCGCCACTCATCATGAACGCCCCTTCAGCCTCCGCCCCCGCCCCGGCCTCTCCCTCCACAGTCGCAGCAGTCACCGAGTCACTCAGATCGGCGGCCCCATAAAGCACCATCTCGCGCCCGCCCCGCGTGCTCCACCACGTCACGCAGAAATGGGCGCGCTCCACGTCCATCTCGCCGTTGCTCAGGGCCCCCCAGAACCGCTCCACGCAGAGCTTGTGCATGTCCGGCGCGCGAATCGCGGTCAGCAGCTGCGCCGTGAGGGGAAGCCAGTCCTCCAGCTCGTCCACGTGCAGGAAACAGAGACTGTCGATCAGAGCCAGCGTGAGGGCCGCCTGCTCGGTCACGGGCGGCGGGGCGTTGAGCTCGGAACCCCCTTCGTCAGCGTCGCCTGGCGCCGGCTGCGGGAGAAGTTTGTCGGAGGTGGCGTGCAGGGCTCGGTCGTAGAGAACCTCCAAGAGGACAGACAGGAAAAGGGGCTGGCTGTTGGCGATCGGAGAAGGGGGTGCCGTGACTTGGATGACGGTTTTGAAGGCGAGGCGGAATTGACGGGCAGAGAGGTTGTCGGGGAATACCTATGAGCAGTTGGTTAATCGAGTAGTTTACTAGCAGCAGAGACGGAGTGGCTCACGGCAAAAAGATTGTCGATGTAGAAGGGTAGGTGTTTGGCTGCAATAGTTGCGTTGCCGGGGATGGCGAAAACAGCTAACACCACACTGTGGGCAGCTTCGAAAATCTCGAGCAGATGGTTGTTGCCGCCTGCCGGAAGATACGGCGTGGCAGCAGCGATGAGCAGCTCCTCGCTGAACGTGGAAGACAAGACGGGAGTAAACAGCTCGGAAGTATTGAGGAAGAAGAGATCCAAGCATCTTTCCACCGGATGGGCAGGGATTTGACCCAGCTCACTGGGTTTGATGCTTCGAAGGAAGTTCTCTGTCAAGTCAGGGTATTGCGCAAGGATATCCACCGCAGTCAAGGTCACAAACACATGCTGCGATGAAGCATTCTGACCAATGCGAGACGAGATGAAATAGAGGTTGCGAAGTATGTGTAGAGCTTGCATGGACAGGAACGGCGCACCTAGTAGAGGTTAGTATTGCGATTCAGCACGAGATTCCAACGGAGTCACTCACTTTGATGAGCAGCCAGTATATGGTCATTGAGAACCCTTCCAAGAACAGCCCGAAGAACAATCACGATCGAATACAAGCAGTTGCGAAGCAGTTTCCAGAGCCCCGGAATTGTGCTCTTTAGCGACTCCGGATCCAGGAATTCCGCCTCTTCAGCCCGATCGACTTCCGACAGTTTGTTCTGACGCCACTGAACCATCAACGTCCGCACAAAGTCCGTGATCTGATCCATGGATCGTGCGACTAACCCTGGATCTTGAACATTCTCAACCGCGTGGGCAATGAGTCGGGACAGAGGGCCCAAGGCAGACACGAGCGGACTCGATGAAATTGCCGACACGCGAAGAAAGGTATCGGATTGTGGCGACCACTGAAACCGTTTCCCAGGCGCTTCAACAACATCCTTGTCAACGGTCCCAAGAAAGTACCCTCCTTCAAGGCCTTCCGGCGATGCGAACGTCGCATTGACCATAACTGGCAATAGGCGATCGTAGTCCAGCCTGCTTTTCTCGTAGTCGGATATGAGCTCGAAGGTATAGTTCAGCACCATGGTGATGCACCGACCATCAACCTCATTCTGGGGATCTAACTCCTCGAGAGCAAATTGAGCGGCCGTCACGAGAGCGGACTCAAGCTTCCTCCGGACCTGCGATGGCAGACCCTGTCTGTTTTGGCCTTCGAAGCCCAGTAGAATCCCGCCAATCAGAATAACATGTCGCCATCGCGGCGACTTGTCGTCCGCTCCGTTGACTACCGCCTTAACCCAATCTTCGCGCTCAATCTTCCGAGGCTTCATGTACGAGACTCTAATATCCTCCGATTCTTCATTTTGCAGAAGTGCAATGGCGGCAGTGTTGAAGACGCTGAGGATCTTTCGACATGCAAGAAGATCGACAGGACCATGCCACAAGGCCGGGGCGGCTAGCAGATTTGATGCAAGCAGGGTGATATTCAATGGGTTTCCGAGCACATATAAGAGGCTCGTTGCCGTCGGAAGCAAGCTGGCAGATAAGGCAGTCAGTGGATGTTATGAGGCCGTCGCCGGGTGCAGTCTGACGTACGCGAGGACATCATGCAAATCAGACGAGGTCTGAAGCGACCGCAGAAGAGCACCCAAGGAGCGCTCTGTTGCCATCTTGGGGGCTGGGAAGTATAGTTGTGTCCGACAAAAGGGACATGAGCTGCTGAAGAAGACGTCCTTAGGAAGAGAGGGAGAGATAAGACGGAAGAGGGCCGCGGCGATGTTACCGCGGAGAACCCCAGATCACCTGCCGAGGTTAAGAGTGGTATATTTCCATCGTTTATCGCAAACAGTGCAAACAAGCTTGCAGCAACTGCCAGCCACCATCGGCCGTTGCGGATCTTATCAGTTGCTCCCTCCTTCTCCTTTAACCCCATTCCAAGTGAATGCATTCCATCGTCTAGCTGGTATTATGGTTTTGTCATCTGATCACCAAGCTGTATAGTTTCTTTCAATCTGCGAAAACAAGGAACTCTGTCTTGTGGTCAGATGGCCAATAATCGTGTGCCGATCAACTACCAGACGCCGGCATTCCCCTCCCTCTATGAGCTACTACCGGCGAGCGAGTCCCGAGCTAATTACCTCTACTATACACGGGACATCTGGCGATTCACCTTCTATTGGACCTTTATCTTCTATGGAGGTAGTCATCTCTTAGTTGCAGCATGGGCAGTGGCAATGCAATGTCGAAGTTGGAAAGCTTGTCTAGCTGTGCCCGCATTCTACCTGGCCATTGGGGGCATAGAGGCGCTCCTGGCTGGGAGTATTGTTGGTCTAGTGTGAGTATATAAAGTCTATGCTCTCGCTGCTGAATATACTTACTAAGAATGGAACAGTCTCGGCGCTGTCTACGAGGCAGGTAATTTCAGAATGTCCACATGGATCCCCCTTCTATGGGGTGGTATTAATGTCTTGGTCCTCATTCTATCGAGCTTCCCAATGCCAGGTGGTCTATGAAGAGAACAGATCAAGGGTCAAGGTGCCTTCATGATGCTCAGTCAAATACAGACATGCCCGGTTCCCTGCAGGCCATGGGTTCAAGGCATGCTATTTATGCCTAGTGATGTATCCGAGTCTCACCGGTCTCTCGAGGGCTACAGAAAAAAGCATTGGCGCAACATGTGTGTATATCACATGGCGAATTACCAACACACTATGGTGCCAGACCTCCAGGACAACATCTATCAGTTCATGAGAGCTATCTTCCGTACCCATTGTCGGGTGCACCGCCACCACCCAAGCCGGGTAGACCTCCAGGCATGCCGCCATGGTTCGGTGGGGGGAAATTTGGTAATGGGATACCTTGGGACATAAGCTGCTTCTGAAGCTCCGCAAGATCGGCGTTTGATGGTGGAGGTCCCGGCATAGCGGGGTGCATCGGGTAGCCGGGAAATCCGGTTGTTGGGGGGAAGTTGTTCGGCGGGGGCGGTGGCTGGGTAGATAGATATTGCGCCAGACGGCTAGGATCCATTGGAGGCATTGATGCAGGATAGCCAGGCTGTGGTAGAGGCTGAGGAACGCCAATTCCTGGCAACAATGAGCCGAAACCATCCGGCTGAGGCACACCGCCGGGCTGTGCCTGGATCCCTGGAAGGCCTTGGGGTCCAGAAGTTTTCTTCTGATCAACCAGACCCTCAGCCTCATCCTGCAGCTCTTGCTCCTCCTCCTCACGCATCTGTCGTCTCCCAAACCCGCGACTCCATGTCCCTTGCGCCTCTGCCGCCTCTTCGCCAATATGGAATCTGTCTTTCATGTAACTCGTTTCTCCCGGCCTAGCGCGAGACCAGAACCGGGTGAAATTATCCTTCGAGCCCGAGGCAAGAATGTGACCAAGAGGGTGCCAATCGAGTGACCAGATAGTAGCCCCATGTGCGTACTGTACCCGATGAGCGGGGTATATGACTTGTGCAGGTGTGTTGGCGGGGTCCGGACTGTCGTACGGAGCAATCGTAGGTATTTGGCCAGCTGGCAGATTAGGCTCGTCGAGTAGGTAATGATACAATGAACCGTCCTCGCTGCCCGTGGAGATGAGGGAACTGTGAACGGGATGCCATGTGAGAGAGGAAATTGGCTTTTCATGACCGCGCAAGATGCAAATATCACGCATCATGCGCAAGTCAAAAACTCTTGCCGTCTGATCACGCGACGAAGTGGCAAGCAGATTGCTATTGACGCGCGAGAAGCGTGTCGTTGTGACCGTATTCTTGTGGCTATGAAGGGTTGTCAAGCATCTTGTCGTTCGAGGATCCCAGAACTTGACCTGGTGATCTTTGGAGCCGGAAACGAGCAGCCCCTTCGTGGGATGCCAGTCGCATGATTTCACATCCCAATTGTGCCCCGTCAAGACAGTGTCGCAAGTCCTTTGGGTGAAGTCGAAGATCTTGAGGGTGGTGTCGTCGGAAGCCGAAAGGAACTTGGTGTCGCTTGGAGACCACGCCAGATCTCGTACGGCGTCGTGGTGTGCATCATCAATCGTCTCGACGTTGTTGAAATTGGGCCGCCAATACTTCACATCGCCCTTCTGCCCACCCGAGATCAACCAGTCATGGCTGTGAGACCACGCCAGTGAAGTGACACCCGCTTGTAATTGGTCATAATGCGCCTGTACATCCCATCAGCAAATGTCGAACTTGCAGACTGCGTATAATCAGCAATCGGCGATACGCACGTCCATGACCGTTTCGAAGTTAAATGCAGTTCCGTTCCACAGCATGAATTCTCCGGTGTGCCCACCCGTCAACAGACGCCTTCCCTCGGGCGTCCATCTTACAACTGTGATCGGCTTCTTGGACTTTCCGATAGATTGGTGCAAGTGTCGGACGGGAATTGTGTCAGCGGGGTTGTGGATTCGTGCCAACGGTGGTAGCATCTAGAGACAAAGGAACCGCGAGCATATTAGTTGATTGAACTCAAACCTGCTGGAAAATTGCGACTCACATCGATCACGTAGCTTGCACTGGGTCTTTCAACCTCCATGCGATGGCCTCCCTTGTACCGAGGCTGTCGTGTGCGCATCCATTGTACCAGTGAAGAGCCATAGTCGGTTACCAGTCCTAAAATTGGGCGGCGGTTAAGAAGGCCTTCGCGACGGGCAACGGATGAGAAAAACAAAACGTACTTGGTCGTCGCGGTCCCACAATGTTGCCTTCGTAGGATTTGGGAGGTCTTCCAAAGGGCTGGGAGTCTCCAGCAGAGTCATCGTAATAAGCCATTGCTAAGCAGTGGAGAGGTCGAGATAATCGGAGCTATGGATCGTTGGGGTGACAGTGTAAGGCAGGGAAACAGGATGACGGAAAGATGGGCGAGACAGTCGTCGCAAGCATGGAAGAAGGCCGAATACGAAGACGCGCAGGAAGCCAGACCTCAACCAAAGTGGCAAGATCCCAGCTAGAACTGTCCCAACATGTCGTGCATGCAGTAGCTTTAATTAATTGTTCGTAATAAAGAAGTAAAGAAGGAAAATTAGTGTTTGTCCTCCAGGCTGACTGGCTGGTTGGAGCAGTTGGGTGTTTGGAGGGAGTTGGACGGTGAATAATGAATGAACTAAACCTACTTTGGGGGAAGGGGCGGCGGCGGCGCGGCAGAAAGCATCATTGGCCGGGGATAGGAAATAGAGGAGGGCAACTGGCCAGACTCCAGACGGGTACGAAGTAACTACTGTTACCTCCTACGTAGTAACTTAGTTAGTACTGTACCTTATGCTGCTGCTGCTGCCAACTACGCCGGCGGAGTACGTAGCTTTCTTGGAAACCCCCCGGTCTCCTTTCTAACTCTGTAGCCCCAAGGTTGCAGCACGTTGCCCTGTCAGATTAAGCAGCTATAATAACGGTCTTTTTGCAACAAACTAAAAAGCTGCTTTGATTAACCTGCTGGACCTAGAACTATTATTGAACCCCGCCGCGCTGCTTCGGGTCTTTCCAGTTTCCACAGAATTGGTCCCTTTCCTTCCCCCCCGACTGTCCTATAATTAATCCCTATCTGCCCCCCTCTTCTCTCCATCGTCTCCTGTCATGATCTTTGAGTGTCTAAACTCAGGTGGGATCCCTCGTCCTGCGTCCCGCTTTGTATCTCCGCAATTTTCTTTGACCGTTACGAGTTCTTTGTCCGAGCGAACCACCTCCTGGGACACCCATCATTCAATCTCCAAGCTGGGATGCGAGCTTACTGGATGAGTTAGGGGTTTGAACTTCTCAACGCGATTTCATCTATGCATTCCGCCGAAGAGATCTCCGACGCTACAGGTGCTGTGAGTACCGGCAGTGACGACACTCTTTCGTCGTCCGCGACCACAAACCGAAAGACGTCTACGACTGGCGCAATTGGCGCAGAGGGCACAGCTGGTGTCAAGAAGGAGAAGAAGAGAAGCAAATATCGACATGTAGCAGCATATCACGCCAAAGTGCGTCATTCCAGTCTCACGCGCGAACCCAATGTGACGGCAAGTTTCCTCGGCTTCCGCAATTTGATGGTGATTGTCCTAGGTGAGATTGACCTGACTAGTCTTGCTAAACGCGCCGCTGGGGAAATGCTCATGTCTTCTCTTCGTCTTAGTGGCAATGAACCTTCGACTCATCATTGAGAACTTCATGAAGGTAAGACCCTCTGTCATGTGGAGGCAACTGAGATGCCGAGGCTAACGGCGCCGGGTAGTATGGCGTTCTTATCTGCATCAAATGTCATGACTACCGCAAACAGGACGTGGTCTTAGGATCGATCCTCTTTGCCCTCGTCCCGTATCACCTTTTCATCTCCTATCTCATTGAATTGACTGCGTCGAAGCAGGCCAAGCAGGTCGTTGGCCAGAGAAAGAAGAATGGTTCCGCGGAGGCAGCTGAGCGCGACCAGCGGACTTTCCGGCTTACCTGGTGGCTTTCTGCTTTCTTCCATTGCATTAACACTCTATTGAGTCTTGGGGTTACCAGTTTCGTCGTATACTTCTACATCCACCACCCTGGAATTGGCACGTTGTGTGAGCTGCAGGCCCTCATCGTCTCGTTCAAGATCTGCTCATATGCCTTCACCAATCGCGACTTGCGCGAGGCAATGCTCAACCCATCTATGGAGTCGGCACTCCCAGAGATCTACTCGTCCTGCCCGTATCCCCGCAACATCACTCTCGGAAATCTCATTTACTTCTGGTTGGCTCCAACCCTGGTTTACCAGCCCGTTTATCCGAGGTCATCACACATTCGATGGTCCTTTGTGGCGAAGCGCCTGTTCGAGTTCTTTTGCCTGACTGTATTCATCTGGCTTCTCTCCGCTCAATACGCGGCACCCGTTCTCCGGAATTCCATCGACAAGATCGCTGTGATGGATTTTGCGTCGATCCTGGAGCGAGTGATGAAATTATCCACAATCTCCCTTGTTATCTGGCTGGCTGGATTTTTCGCTGTGTTTCAGTCGCTGTTGAATGCGCTAGCCGAAGTCCTGCGCTTCGGCGACCGCGAATTCTATACCGACTGGTGGAACAGTTCCAGCCTCGGAGGGTACTGGCGATCATGGAATCGGCCTGTGTATCTTTTCATGAAGCGGCACGTTTTCTCGCCACTCGTCGGACGAGGGTGGAGTCCGCTCGCGGCGAGTACTGTTGTATTTCTGGTCTCCGCCATTCTCCACGAGATGCTGGTTGGGATTCCGACACACAATCTGATCGGTAAGCAAGACAATCTGCAGGTTTCGTTTCCATGGATTCTGATCAAACGCAGGAGTTGCCTTTGCGGGGATGATGTTCCAACTGCCGCTAATTGCGATCACGGCCCCGTTAGAAAAGATCAAGGACCCATCAGGCAGGGTGATAGGAAACTCGATCTTCTGGGTTAGTTTCTGCCTCGTGGGTCAACCTCTGGGGGCCCTGTTATATTTCTTTGCCTGGCAAGCGAAGTATGGCAGTGTGAGCAAAATGGGGGTGTAGATCGTTGTCTGATTTGTTTCGTCACCTTTCTTCAATACTTCAATGGCTTCAATGGCAGTAACCGGGCTAAAACTGGCTTTAGTGCCTCTGCAGTTTCCATTCAATAGAATAATGCAAGGAGCAACAAAGCGACACGTCAACCATAGCTAGAAGAGAAACTCCTAGAAGCATCGTTACTGCTTACCGATCAGCAGGCAGCAGAAACGCGTAAGAAATGGGGGAGGAATTCCAGCACGGAACCCCGGCTGTGCGAGGGTCCGCAGGGAAAGCTTAAGATCCGTATCCGGCCGGATCCATACAAAACCACCGGAAATCTGGCTTCATAAGCCACACGAGCAATATCACTAAACAATCTCACCATCTCCAACCAACCAATTTGCACTCCACCAAATCAAATCCACTTCTATACTTCCCCATCATGTTCACCTTGACTGTTCCTGAGGGCTACGGGTAAGTCACTTTTAATCGATGCAACCTTACCCCTGTATCGTAACCTGGACTAACGATTTCCCCCTCGGGGGTTACACAGCGCCGTCATCGCCGTCGCGCTGGGCGCCATCCCCGTCCTGGGGTTCGTCCACGGCATCGTCACGGGCAGCACCAGGAAGAAGGCCCAAATCCCCTACCCCCACACCTACGCGACCGTCGAACAATGCAAGGCTGATGTGAGTTTCCTTTCTCCCACCGCTCTCCCTCCACCCACCCAGGCATCGATTGACTGATAATGACCCCCCAAAAAAACACAGCCCAAAGCCGAGCAATTCAACTGCGCCCAGCGCGCGCACGCCAATTTCCTGGAGAACTCCTCCCAGACTATGCTCTTCACGCTGGTGGCCGGGGTGAAATACCCGCAGCTGGCGGCGGGCTTGGGCGCGGCGTGGGTGGTCTTGCGGGCGCTGTTCTTGCACGGATACGTGTACTCGGGCAAGTCGGAGGGTAAGGGTCGGTACAGGGGGGGTCTGTTCTGGTTGGTGCAGGGTGCGTTGTGGTGGTTGACGGTCTTTGGCGTGGCGAAGGAGTTGTTCTAGGGGTGCACGGGTGAGGTTGGTGAGAGTGTGGGGATGGGGATGGGCTGCTGGTCCTGTGTAGTCTAGTTAATGTTCGTAAGGGAATCTGTTAGGTTTGCATCTTTTATTTGAGCAATTTTGTTTGTTGGAGCTCTGGGTGAAGACTGAACGGTAGTAGTGGGGACTGGTTGTTGAGGGATTGGTGCTCATTGTGAGGGTTGGAGTAAGTGTACAAGTATCAGTTGCAATGGTAAGTAGGTTATGGTCAGTGGAAAGATATCTGGAGACTTAGCTCAGCATCTTGAGATACGAGGCTTGGAGCAGTGGCTGTCTGTATTCAAGCTCGGCGGAGAAGCTCTCAGGGCCGCAGCCTCGGCATTCGGCAGTGTGGCTGACCCCACGGTCGGAGGTGGAGCAATCTAGAAGCCGATGTGGCTGATGAAGGATGGAGGGGGAATCTTTGGGTATGATTTTATCGTCTATCGTGTTTTCTTCCGCAGGCCTTCTTTTCGTCAATACCCCGCCATTGAGCTCAATTACTTGACTGATATCATTATCGGAGGCCTCTTCACATACTGGTCAATCCCTCAATCAGCCCATTCCAACAAAAAGCTCCACATCCCACCCCATCCGCTACCACCCCGCAAAAACCCCGCCATGTCGTCCAAGTCGCAATTGACCTACACTGCCCGTGCGAGCAAGCACAACAACCCTCTGGCCAAGCGCCTCTTCGAGATCGCCGAGGCCAAGAAGACCAATGTGACCGTCTCCGCCGACGTGACCACTACCAAGGAGCTCCTGGACCTCGCTGACCGTAGGCCCGCCGAAACCTCTTTCACTCCATGATAAGGAATTGACCCCCGAGATATGTACATAGGCCTGGGACCCTACATCGCCGTGATCAAGACGCACATCGACATTCTGTCGGACTTCAGCAACGAGACCATCGAGGGCCTCAAGGCGCTGTCCGAGAAGCACAACTTCCTGATCTTCGAGGACCGCAAGTTCATCGACATCGGCAACACCGTCCAGAAGCAGTACCACAAGGGCACCCTCCGGATCTCGGAGTGGGCCCACATCATCAACTGCAGCATCCTGCCCGGCGAGGGCATCGTGGAGGCCCTGGCCCAGACCGCCGCTGCCGAGGACTTCGAGTACGGCGCCGAGCGCGGCCTCCTGATCCTGGCCGAGATGACCTCCAAGGGATCCCTCGCCACGGGCCAGTACACCACCGCCTCGGTGGACTACGCGCGCAAATACCAGAAGTTCGTCATGGGGTTCGTGTCGACGCGGGCGCTGGGCGAGGTGCAGTCGGAGGCGAGCTCCGCCTCGGAGGAGGAGGACTTTGTCGTGTTCACGACGGGCGTCAATATCTCCTCCAAGGGCGATAAGCTCGGCCAGCAGTACCAGACCCCCGCCTCTGCGATTGGTCGCGGAGCCGATTTCATCATCGCCGGTCGCGGGATCTATGCCGCGGCGGACCCGGTGCAGGCGGCGCAGCAGTACCAGAAGGAGGGCTGGGAGGCGTACCAGGCCCGTGTTGGCGGAAACTAAAATTGAGTGAGGGGTGGCTGTTTATTTTAGACGATGTACAGGATTAGCAACATAATGCCATGTTACGACTAATTTGCTTTCAAGCATCCAAGCTCTCGGATAAAGACGAGGGGGTTTCGATCCTGCAGGGAAGATAAGATCCCTTGAATCAGTCATCTTGCCTTTCAGGCCCATTCAGGCCATGGGTTTTGTGATTGATAACATGGGAGATGATAACCTAATCTAGACCGAACGAGATAAGACCTGAAATCCAGCCTCTACCTTACATGACTGTAGAGGCAGGCAGATGATGGGTCTGTGGATCTCCCAGCATATCTCAGCATATACTTTCCTCTGGCCAAGATTGTTATCTGCCAATGGATGGATGCAATATGGCCATGCTATTAATGTTGAGTTGGGGGAGGTTGCAAAGCGCCGGCCTCCAGATCTGGAATCCGATGCGGAACGAAGAGTGACAGTTCCGCGCTTGCAGGACGTTGTTGAGCGACTTTCCTTCCTTCTCCTCTCCTCGCCTCATGACGTCGCAAGATAAGCGACAGCACGATTCGTCCCTCTGCCATCCTCAGTCGAAAACAACCTAGGAGCATCATGTCCAGCCTCGAGTCACTCGGCTAATCTCTCCAATGGACGAGTGGCAAGTCCTCTTCGACCTCAACATCCTCCTTCACCCCCCTCTCCTCTCTCGAACCTGTTTCCCCCTCATTCTTATCTGACTGGATGGCACTATCGTTTAGTACTCCAACTACTGCATGCAGCTAACGGGAATCCAACCCTCCTGATTCGGTCGATAAGCCGTCTACCCCAGATAAACCAGATAACAGCCAAACAACTAGCGTCTTATCTCCGACTATGGGACTATGGGACTATGAGCGCTCATGCAACCCCATCTCTTGCAAGCAAACCAGTTGTGAATTCCATTGCCGATCCGGCTGCACCATGACATTTCAGAGGACAGTCATAAAGCCCATTTGGTCGCTCTGGGTCAATCTCCGCTTGCCCCCTTGCCTCCTGTCTGTCACACCCGTCCTTCATCCCCACACTTCTATCCCCTTTGACGCATTCTTCTCTTTTCTCTCCTTGCTTCCTCGGTGTCATTAAACATGGGGGACGAGAAATCCCAGTCGCATACAATGGTCGATGAAGAGAAAGATACCACCAAGGCCGTGGATCCGGTCCTTCTCCAGCATGCGCAGGACGCAGACGAGGCGCTGGGCGTCTTCCAAGATCTCCAGGGGGAGGTGATCGAACTCGACGAGGCCACGAACAAGCGACTCTTGCGCAGAATCGATTGGCATATCATGCCGATCATGTGCTTTGTCTATGGCATGAACTTCCTCGACAGTGAGTGATTCCATGCGGTTCAATGCGGCAGCATGTATGTTGACATATTCTAGAAACAACCCTGTCCTACGCCAGTATCATGGGCATCAAGACCGACATCAACCTGCAAGGCGATGACTATCAATGGCTAGGCAGTCTATTCTACTTTGGTGCGTACTTTCATACGCGGCCATGTAGCAGGAAGACTAACAGTTCATCAATCAGGCTATCTGGCATGGGAATACCCGACAAATAGACTTCTGCAGAGACTTCCCTTGGGGAAGTACTCCGCCGTGTGCGTCATCATATGGGGAGCTATCCTGTGTTGCTTTGCTGCAGTGTCGAACTTTTCCGGAGCTGTTGCCATTCGGTATGGCACCCCTGCCACTGTCTCATTCGACTCTTCTAACGTGCAATTAGCTTCTTTCTAGGCGTTTTCGAAGCCTCCGTCACCCCGGGCTTTGCTCTGCTAACCTCTCAGGTGAGTCGGCCCGAAGTACACCACACTACTTATCCCTATTCCAGCTCTAACATGGTTACATTGAGCAGTGGTACACTAAGTCCGAACAAGGCAGCCGCGTCAACATCTGGTTCAGCTTCAATGGGTTCGCACAGATTCTCGGCGGCTTCGTCGCCTACGGTATCGCCGTCGGCACCGAGAAACACGGCTCCGCCATTGCTCCCTGGAAGATTGTCTTCCTCGTGACGGGCCTCCTGACTGTCCTCCTTGGGGTCATCTTCTACTGGGTAGTCCCTGACAGCCAGCTTAACGCACGCTGGCTCACCAAGGAAGACCGCATTCTGGCCGTGGCCCGCGTTCGCGTCAACCAGCAAGGTATCGGAAACAAACATTTCAAGCTCCACCAAGTAAAGGAAGCCTTGATCGATCCGATGACGTGGGCTTTCTTCTTCTACGCTCTCATTGCAGATATCCCCAACGGCGGAATCACCAATTTCTTCAGTCAGCTGGTACGTTTCCATGCCCTGAACCTCTCAATCTGTCTCCACCACCACCACCACCACCACCACCACTAATCATGCAAGGGAATAGATAACCTCCTTCGGTTACACTGCTGAACAATCTCTCCTCTACGGCACGCCCGGCGGCGTCGTGGAGATCTTCTCCCTCATTGGCAGCGGCTTTCTGGGCCAATACACCAACCAACGCCTCCTCTGCAGCGCGGGCGGTCTCGTCTCCGGTATCCTCGGGATGATTCTCATCGTCGCCCTACCACTCTCCAACAACGTCGGCCGGCTGATCGGCTACTACCTGACCCAAGCCAGCGCCACCTCGTTTGTGGCCCTGCTGGCCATGATCTCCTCCAACGTCGCCGGCTACACCAAGAAGACAACCGTCGCGGCGATCTACCTGATCGGGTACTGTGCGGGCAATATCATCGGTATGTGTTTCTCCCGTGCCACACTATCTGTTTACCAGAGAAACCTACCAACCTCAAACTTGGCTCGATAACTGAACAACAACCAGGCCCGCAAGTCTTCCGCCCGCAAGACGCCCCCCGCTACGTCCCCGCCGAGATCACCATCATCGTCTGTTACGGGTTGTCGATGATGATCCTCGGACTGATCTGGTGGTGGTATCGCCGACAAAATGAGAAGAAGGCTCGCATCCGCTCGAGTCCGGAGTATATCCGGTTGGAGAACCAGGAGTAAGTCCCTCACTCTCGTCCACACCTTCCTTCCGTCCTCCCTTGCTATCACTTTGTTTCTTCCTTTGCATCTCAAGCTGACTTTTGGTGCCAGGTGGATGGACCTCACGGATTGGGAGAACCATGATCTTGTCTATGCTTTGTAATGAACAACTCTTTCAGGCCTGGAGCCTGTTGATCTACTCCTTGTTATATACTTTCCCTGTGTAAGTCACAGGTTATCTAGGCTTTCATGATAATGGTATGATATGACGTAATTCTATGTGCTTATACCAAATGTGCTTCTGAGTATCCGCGGCGAAGTACAACTGCCCCCGTGCAGCTTACCAGGTTTTGTTGACAGCAAGCATAGTTCACTCAGTCTCAAGAAAAATATGGATCATCTTCACGGATCAAATTGAGGACCTTTTCTTGAAGTCAAAGTCTCTCATACAGGCCATCTCCCATGACATGCGTCTCTCACTCATCGCAACCCATAACCCGACTTCGCATACACAGACAAGCTGCAAGCTGCAAGCTGCACAAACCTCGTCTCATAGGAATCCACAATCCTCGGTACACTGCAAACCAAGTCACAGGACTGCCCATACAAGATACAGACTCAAGGAAGGGTGTTCCCCGTAGACCATAGAACCTATCCTCCAGATAGGATATCACTCATCCCACAACTCCCCTGTCTCAAACAGTCACACAAAAAGTACTCAGCCTGTCGAGTCACGGCTTTGCAGAGAAGTCTACCTCATTGCGGTTTGGCTTCTAAGGCAACTTGCACTCTCCCAACAACTTAGGCCTCACATCGAGATATGGGGTGTGAGAGACATGATTTTGTCTGGAACATGATGTCAGTACGCCAAGGTTTATGCAATCGAATAGGAGAGGGTTTTCATTGGCTGACCATGGTTTGTTGCAGTACTGAAGTAGAATATGTCACCGATAATGGTTTCATCGATGACCCAGGCCCGTCCCAGCCACCCAACCGAGGCCTGTAATAAAGGAAGTGCTGTTGAGGAGGACGATGTGGAGGAGGTGGAATGTAGGGTGTTCATGTGTGGGCAGTCGCTGTCGAAGAGGTTGCTGTCGAAGAGGTTGCTGTCGAAGAGGTTGCTGTCGAAGAGGTTGCTGTCGAAGAGGTTGCTGTCGAAGAGGTTGCTGTCGAAGAGGTTGCTGTCGACAAAGTGGCTGTGAGGTTGCTGTCACGGAAGATGCTGTCGTAAATAGTCGTTCTCGATGATTGTAAAAGCTAGTTGTATATGTCCCAGGCCCATCCCAGCCACCCAACCGAGGCCTGCGTTGAGAGATACGTTGGCGACAAGAAGGTTCTTGTCGATGAGATTGTTGTCGAAGAGGTTGATATCGAGATGGTTGTTGATGAGCAGATTCTGTCGCGTGAAGACCAGTCCCCACTGCTCATACTCGGCTAGTGTCGCAGCGCAAAGAGAACGTCGCCAATATCATTTATCATGACATGTTAGTTGGACTCAATTGCATCAAGGAGGATAGACGTCCTTAGCACACTTACTCTAAGAGGTGCTAGATGGTCGTTGTCCCAGGCCCGTCCCAACCACCCAACCGAGGCCTGTAGATCTCGTTGTCTTGTCGAGGTCGTCGTCAGTGCTGGTGGCGCGAGGTCGTTGCTGTGAGACCGGTGTCGTGAGGTCGGTGTCGTGAGGTCGGTGTCGTGAGGTCGGTGTCGTGAGGTCGGTGTCGTGAGGTTGGTGTCGCAAGGCCGTCGTCGAGGACCCAGGCCCGTCCCTGCCACCCAACCGAGGCCTTCGATATCGTTGCCTTGTTGTTGTCGTCGTTATCGAGGTGGTCGTAGTCGTCGTCGTTGTAGTCGTCGTCGTTGTCATCGTCGTCGTCGTCGTTTTCATCGTCGAGGTCATCGTCGAGGACCCAGGCCCGTCCCTATCACCCAACCGAGGCCTGCCGAGTTCGTTGCCTTGTCGTCGTCGTCGAGTTCGTCGATGCCGTGAGGTCGATATCGTCGAGGTCGTCGTCGTCAAGTAAATCGTGCTCGTGATCACCCCTACCACTATCCCAGGTCTGTCGCGAGAACAGCTGCTGCTCCGAAGTTGTCGTTTGAGCAGATGAATCTGGGATCCTTGCACCCAGACCCCATTCCATCATCCAATCACCCAACTTCTCCGAAAGAAACACGCCCATCCCCTTCAGACCCGTTCCCCGAAGCAATCAGTCAGCCCGTTCATATACGTACGTACATCAACAGAAGAAGGAAATGAACCATGGGAGAACAGCGTGTATGAACAAGAAACGAGAAAAGAAAACTATGTATCCTGTTCATCAACAGATGTCAGTCAACATCCACTAGACCGAGGCTGTTTCACTCACCCGTTCTCGAAGTGACAGCAGCGTCTACACCAGGAAACCTGGTGTGCAGGCCTCGTATGAGGCCACAAAAAGGTTACTTTATTTGTCACTTCTTGAACCCTAAAACATAAGTTAGTCAATAGTGTATGCTAATCCGTTGCCAGAAGGGACCACTCACTATCCTTCTATGGAAAAAAGAAGCAGAAAGGAAAGAAAGGAAAGACAAAGGGAAAAAGAAAAACAAAAGAAAAAAAGAACCAAACAAAATGAAGAAATGAAAAGCAGGATTAGTATAAAACATAGACTGTGAACCCACCGTCTATGTCCCAGGCCCATCCCAGCCACCCGCCGAGCCTAGGAAAAACAATAGGGGGAGGAAGTCCGCCTGTATCGATCAGCCAAATGAGCCATGTCAATATGCAAACATTGGAAAGGTACTTACACCTTGACCCACGGGCACAGAATAGCATCGAGCTAACCTGATCCCATGAGTGAAAAAAAAAATATCCCAGGCCCGTCCCGACCACCCAACCGGGGCCTTTTACAATATACATACTACTGCAAGACAAGTTAGCCAGGTTCAGTCAGGATAGTGAGCACTTACCAAGGGAGTGCAAAACTACATTTACATAACCCAGGCCCGTCCCGTCCGCCCGCCATGACCTGAGGTTGTCGCGTATGGGCTTTGTCGTGTCTCCGGCCCCAACCACCAACCATGGCCACGAGACAACTACGAAGTGGCGCATATGGGCTTTGTCGTATATCCCAGCCCATTCCCAACCACCCGGCCAAGGCTGTTCAGAAGCTACTGTAAAGCAAAGTTAGCTCAGCATAGCCAGACAGGAGATCGGCACTCACCGAATTGACACAGAGCTACGCTACAGTGTCTTTGACCCAGGCCCGTCCCAACCACCCAACCGAGGCCCGTCTACGCTACTATAGACCACAGTTAGCTCAGCTTGATTCAAAGAGTGTCATGATCACTCACCGAAGGGACACAGAGCTACGCTACAGTGTCCCGCCCTAGCCCGTCCCAGCCACCCAACCGAGGCCAAGGCAACTACTATAAAGTGAAGTTAGCTCAACTCAATGGAGAGAATGCAACCATCACTCACCGAATGGACACAGAGCTACGCTACAGTGTCCAAGACCCAGGCCCGTCCCATCCACCCAACCGAGGCCTGGTCAAACTACATCGACGAACCTCCATTAGTCAGTTTCTCGTTGCTATGGTGAGGTCACTCATCTGTTTGATCATGAAACTTGAACATCATCGACATCAGACCCTACACGCGTGTCTGATGCCCCAGGCCCGTCCCGTCCACCCGTCCAAGGACCTGTGCAAGCAAATTGTGTCTGCAAACCTTTGTCAGTCAAGTGCCAGTAGCTGCTAACACTCATAGAAGACTTACCAGTTTCTTTCGAAACTGCACTTAACAACACCCAGCAGCCTAAGCTGCTAAGTGTTCCCAGGCCCTTCCCAGCCGCCCTACCATGGCCTGCGCAGACTGCACATGCACGGAACCATCAGTCGAGTGAATACTGTCAAAGAGGAAGGGGAACTTTCCTTGTCGAATATACATAGCAAGATTCAAACACCAGACGCCCGCGTGTCCGATGTCCCAGGCCCGTCCCGTCCACCCGTCCGAGGCCTGTTCAGACTACTGTGTCTGCAAACCTCTGTTAGTCAAGTACCAATAGTTGCTAGCAACCTCAGAAGACTTACCAGTTTCTTTCGAAACTGCACTTAACCACACCAGACACTCGCGTGTCCGATGTCCCAGGCCCGTCCCGTCCACCCAGCCAAGGCCTGTTCAGTCTATCGTGTCTACGTATATATACAAGTCAGTCAGCTGCTCCATCTCAAGAAAGGATAGATGGCTTACCAGTTTCTTGCAAACCTGCACTCAAACGCCGTACACGCGTGTCCGATGTCCCAAGCCCGTCCCGTCCACCCAGCCAAGGCGTGTGTAAGCAAGATGTGTCTGCATAATGAATGTTGTTAGCCGAGTGCACAATCTTGAGAGGAAGGACTTACCAGTCTCTTTCGAAACTGCACAAACACCAGACACTCACGTGTCCGATGTCCCAGGCCCGTCCCAGCCACCCAACCGGAGCCTAGGAAAGAAAATTAAATTCAACAGATCAGACAAGATAGAAAAGATCAGACAAGATAGCAGAAAATGACAAGTAGATCAAATGAGATGATAGACACCAGGCAGCCGTGCTGCCTGATGTCCCAGGCCCGTCCCAGCCACCCAACCGAGGCCTAGGAAAGAAAATTAAGTCAAACAGATCAGACAAGATAGCAGAAAAGACAGAACGCCTAACTCCCAAAAATCAACAAAGTGAGACAAATGAAACAACCAAAAGAGATAAAACAGATAAAACAGATAGAATAGATAGAATAGATAAGAAAGATGACAAGAAGATGCACATATGAAACTAGATACAAGGAGATACACGAAATAAGAAAAGAAACGACAAGATGAAGAAGGAAAGATAGGAAGGAAAAGAGACATATGAAACAACGAAATAAGAAATATGAGATAAATGAAAGTAGAAGACAGAAGATACAACAAATGAAACCACAGGCAAGGAGATATAGAAGATAGGAAAGATAGAAGATACACAAAATGAAGAAGGTAGTAAGAAAAGAGACATATGAAACAATCAAAGAAATAAGAAATAATCAAACAAATGAGACATATGAGACAAGAAAAGATAGGAAAGACAAATACAAGAAATGAAACTATCTAGAACGAAACACAAAATATAGGAAAGATATGCCAACGAGATGGGAAAGAGACACAAGGAGACAAGAAAAGAAAGGAAAGACAAGATACACCAAATGAAATCTACATACAAGAAGATAGGAAAGAAAAGACAGACACCAACAAATGAACACTACCTAGACACGATATGCACAAGATGGCAAGAAGATACACGAACTGTTAGGAGATGAGAGATGTGTAGGAGAGAAAGATTTCTCGAGCCTCGAGCGAGGGATCGCGCTGGTTTTGCTCCGATGCCAAGACTTGACGTCGTCGCGAACGCTGTCAGGATGTGTGCCTGAGAAGACCCAGGAAGCTGGAGGAAGTAGAGTTTGGCGTCAAAGTTTCTCGCTGGATGGCCGGCTGCCATGGTAGGGTGTCGAGGGAGGGTGGAGGGGGGAAAAGCAGACAAAAGAGTTTGGGCCTTCGGCTTCGATAGATGGAGCCATCCGGTGTTATTCCTGCGAAGACGTCGCAAAGCTTGTTCAGTGTAAGGTTTGAGCGGATGCGAGCCGGCCGAGGGAGCGGGGGATGGGCAGTGCGATGCCAACGACGCTATCTGTCGACTGCGGTGGGAGTTCGACTGTGAATAGTAACCTGCAAGTTTGACCCACACTAAAGTTAGCAACATGGCAGAGAGTCGGGTGCAGCAAGCTTACCTTCGTCCAGAGAGAACCATACGCCTCACTTCCTCCCTCTCCCTCTCCCTCTCTCTCTCTCCCTCTCTCTCTCTCCCTCTCCTAGCCTCGTTCTCTCAGAGAATCAAATCGATCAACGCAGGGGCAGGGACCAAGAGAATCAGGAACAGCAGCACATGGAACCACGGGCTGGCACCCGCAGCTTCTCTACCAGGAATGTGGGGGATAAGCTTTTGCCCTGACAGAAACTCTAGGTAATCGGCCGTCAAGCTCTTCTCTCGGAATTATTCTCCCGTGCAAACCCAATCCATCAATCAGGGGAGAGAATGCTGTCCTGCTGACAGGACCCCTTGATTGCCAACCATGGAAACTCGAAACTCATCAGCCAGCCCATGTAAAAATAGTACACTTTCAAGTCGCGGGAGTGGCTTGCAAGTCAATGCAGCTTGAGCAAAAGCTTAATTTCTGGATTCTTAGTCTGCTACATACGAACACAAACAAACGAAACGTCGGTTGCATGCCCACCCAGGCTCGAGTACCGTACAGTGTGGTAGAGTACAGTACATCCAGTATGCAACCTCGTCACATCAGAATGGTGACTACATTCCCAGCAACCAATAACCCCCCAGCCCAAGCACAGCTAACAGGATGGCCCACCGCATCAGCCCCCGGCGGATGTAGTACTCGGCGATGCGATCCACCGCCTGGGCGTCGTTGATGCGGGGGAAGGGAACGTCGGGCACCTCCTTGCCCAGCGCGCGGCAGAGGGGCTCCCAGCCCTCGCGGACATCGAACAGCACGAGGCGATCGGGCGGCACGACCTCGCGCAGCCACTGCAGGTGCAGCTGGTAGATCCAGGCGACGTCGCGCGAGCGATAGATGCGGTCCCACTGCGCCTGCAGCAGCCAGTTGTAGCCCATGAAGTGCCGCATCCCCGGGAGCGGGAGCAGCACGGCGCCCAGGAACCACAGGCGCACGATCGAGCTGACTTGTTGGATGCTCCGCACCCACGCGTCCGGGTCGCGCACCGTGCAGATGACTTTGCTGTCTGGGTAGAGCTCGAGGAGTTCGGGGACGAGCTGCGACGCGGGCGCATCGGTGATGGCGGCGTAGCCCGCGGTGCGGGTCTGGAGGAGAGCAAGCGTGGTGGCGTGGTCGCCCGACAGCCAGTTCTGGAGGATCCGCTTCCACGAGACGATCTCGGTGGGCGGGCCCATCAGCGTCTGGGTACCCCCGTGGTAGATGGGGCCGCCCAGAAGGATCTCCAGGGCGGCGCTGAAGGAGGCGGTTCCCGTGCGCGAGAGCCCGGCGCCGATGACTTGGATGTGTGTCCCGGGCTGGGGGACGGACGCTTGTTGGCCCATCGTGTACGTAGGTCGTAGGGAAGCTGGAGGAAAGGTTCAAGGCGAGGCTGGTCCGGAAGAGTTTGAGGGGGTGAGAACAATAATGGAAGGATGATGAGAGGTTGCAAAGGCGTTTCAGCGGCAGTAACCATCGAAGGGTCACACAAGTTACGGAGTACTTTCTTCTTGCTGGGGTCGCCCTAAGCGCCGACCTTGCACCGATTTCAAACCAGGGATTGACTTTTTACCCCTGTCCTGTACAGCCAGCAGAAAACTACTGGGTACTACAGGCAGGAACCAACTTCCAGTCCAACCACAACGGGCTGTCTATCTCCGAGCACCTCGACCGGAGGCTTTCCTTCGGCCGCGCAAGCAAAGTTCTCAAGCTAGCAAGAGTTATAATTAGGATGCAGGAATTTCTCGCTGTTTGCTTTCCTCGTGAACGCGATAGAGCAAGAATCTAAGAATAGTCGTCCATGTGATCTTCTACTGCCAATGATGTGGATGCATCGACATTACGGCGGAAAAGTGACTGAGAGATGACATCGCTTGTTGTTCGCGCCTCGAAGACGTTGTACACCACTGAAGAGAATGTGTCGGTAGAGTTAGGCAGTGAGGGAGATATGCAAGACCTGGATGTAGTGACTTCAGTAGGAATGACCTTTTGGGGCTAGAATCGGATACCTTTCTAGATAGAGAGACACGGGATCAAAATATACCCCATTGAACCAGCAACGAAGACGGCAACATGTGGCGCTCAGAGTCGGTCGAGCAGTCAACTACCAGCAGTAATTCTTGAGCATATTCCAATCATAAGCCAGATGAATTTGAGTCATGATACGCTAAGCCGAGCATGCTGCTGGCACGCAGCAAGAACTAGCACTCGATCACAAGTACGCAAATAGACAAGATCAGCGTTGAGAGCCTGCGCCTTGCATGACGTTGTAGTCTCATCCTTATTCAAGACTTATCCAGTGATGCAAAAATCAGTAGTTTTTGAGGGATAAAAGAAGGGGCGAAGATCAAAGTAGACGTAGTCTAGGCACACTCCTACAAGTTACAGACGGAGCAGCTAC